ATATTTATATATAGAATATCTATATATCCTTCTTAAGAGAGTAAGTTATAATAATATATATATAGAGACCTTAGAGAAAATCTAGAAGTTTTATTATTATTATTAATTATATAACCTAGCCTTAAGATAATTTAAATTTTTAATTAAGAATAAGTATAAGTTTAACTATAAAATTATAATTAATATTATATATATTAATAGAAGGTATATATTATATATTATTAATATAGTAATATTATTTTAGATAGTAACTTTTCTAAAGTTATTATCTATATAAGATATATAGAATATACTCTATAAATATTAGATCTATATATATTAAGAGCTATTTAATAATATTATCTATAATCTAGATATAAACCTTTTATCTAATAAGTTTAAAGACTAAGCTAGAATCTTAAGAATTATATATAAAGAAATACTAATAGAAGCCTATTAAACAGTTAGTAAGATTAAGAGATTATATAGACCTCTATATTAAATCTTTAATATCCTTTTTAAGAAGCTAGATTATTATATAGATAAAGAGATAATTCTATAAATAGTAGTTAAGGCTCTAAATAATATTACTAGCCTAAATAGACTTATACTAATCCTATTAATATTTAATATATACTTAAGAATTAATAATAACTTATCTCTATTATTAGATATTATTATATAAGTAACTATAATCTAGAAAGTTATTAAGACTTTATAGAAATACTATATAAAATAAAGTCTCTCTTAGAGGGTTTATAACTATAGTATGAATCTATAGTGTCAGATTGATCGATTGATTAGGACCTTACATACAAGTCATTTAAGTGGCTTCCATCAACTCTATTTAATTCACAACCCTACTAGAACAACTATTAATACAAACCCTAAAAGGCTGTAGTTGTTAGTGTAATTAATTGTCTTAGCAGCCTTATATAGTTTGCCTAGATCAGGCTTAGAAAAGATAAACTTCTTAACTTTATTAAAGAGTCGCCTATTCTTCTTATTAGATACTATAGAAATAAGAAAGGATAACATCTCTTTAGTAGCCTTAGATATATATATTAGTATTATATAAGTATATATAGATATAGATTAGGTTATTTAATAGAGAATGTAATTAAGAGTTTTAATATAGATAAGTATAAGAGATAGACTTAAGAGAGTAGGAGAATAGATCATTTTATATATATTTAAGATAACCTCTTAGTAATAGCACTATTTATTATAATAATTTAGTTATATCTATTATTAAGTAGATAGCTTATATATCTAGGCTTATAAACTTATATATATAGATATCTAGATAAGTTGACTTATTAGCTAGCTATAGACTGAATTATAATTAAGAGGTTAAAAAGTCTAGAACTAATTCTAGGCCTTAATTATAGTTAAGAGGTTTAAAAGTCTAGAACTGATTCTAGATCTTAGACCTATATTAAAGATAGTTAATAGCTATTAGGCTTAAAAATCTTTATAGTTAAGAGACTATACTTAATTAATCTATAATAATAATTATATTCTTATTATTAGGTACTATTATAATATCTTTAGAATATAGGTATTATATTTATTATATCTCTTTTAACTATATTATATTAATAGTATAACTTAGCTTATATCTAATAGATATATTAAAAATAAATAAAATAGATAGATATAAAATAAAGTGTTAATTTAGTAGCTAATATTATAAATAGGCTAAGTATTATATAAATTCTAGATCTATTATTAAGAAGTAAAGTTTTAATATAGAGAAAAAAGAGAGATTAATTAGAACTATATAAGATTAAGATAATTAAAGGATATAATATAATAGAATTTATTATTAATAAACTAATTAAGTTTTATATAATATAAGTTAAATCCTACTTTAAGAAGAAGATTATATAAGTTATAGATAATAAAGAAAAGATTAATAAAGTAGTCTCTATATAATAAGAATCCTAACTAAAGAAGTATAGATAATCCTAAAGAATCTCTAAAGAGCTTTAATATAAAGAGAAAATCTTTATATAGATTAACTTCTAACTATAAAGATATAGTAGGTCTTAAAAAGCTATTATATAATATCTTATCTAGAAGAAAAAAGATAATAAAGAACTAATTATTAAGCTTTATATAAAGAGAGTAATTATAATTATTAAAGAGTTCTTTAAAGAATTAAATATAATAGAAATTAATAAACTAACTATTTAATAAGTCTTTAAGTTTATATAAATAGATTCTAATAAGTATAGCTATCTTTAGATCTTTAAAATAAGACTTATCTATCTATCTATCTATTTTATTTATTTTTAATATACCTATTAGATATAAGTTAAGTTATACTATTAATATAATATAATCCCTCTTAAAGGGTTTATAACTATAATATAATTCTATAGTATTAGATTGATCGATCAATTAGAACCTTATATATAAGTCATTTAAGTGACTTCTATTAACTCCATTTAATTCACAACCCTACTAGAATAACTATCAATACAATAAAACCACTATATAGCATAGCACCAGTTCTATTCCTTCTTTCTTCTCTAAAGACGCTTAACCATCTTCCTTAGATATTCTAGCTATAATTAGTATTTCTTAATACTAAAGAGGTAGTTAAGATTTAAATCATTAGATTATATCTCTTTAAAAATAATCAGGCTCTTAAGTAGCTCTATAATATTAATAGCCTCTAATAGGCTGTATCTAAAGCCTAGAAGGCTGTAGTTATTAATATTATTAATTCCTCTAGTAGCTTTATATAGTTTGTCTAGATCAGACTTAGAAAAGATAAACTTCTTAACTTTACTAAAGAATTATCTATTCTTCTTATTAAATACTATAGGAATAAAAAAGGATAATATCTCTTTAGTAGTCTTAGATATATATATTAGTATTATATAAGTATATATATATATAAATAGGGTTATTTAATAGAGAATATACTTAAGAGTCTTAATATAGATAAGTATAAGAGATAGACTTAAGAGAGCTAGTAATAAGAGGATAGATTATTTTATATATATTTAAGATAATCTCTTAATAGTAGTCTTAAAGTATATTATTATTATATTAGAGCTTATAGAATAGATTACTTATTATTAAGAGACTATTTATTATAATAATTTAGTTATATCTATTATTATTAAATAGATAGCTTATATATCTAGACTTATAAACTTATATATATAGATATCTAAATAAGTTAACTTATTAGCTAGCTATAGGTCTAGCTAAACTATAGTTAAGAGATTAAAAAGTCTAGAACTAATTTTAAACCTTAACTATAGTTAAGAGGTTTAAAAGTCTAGAACTAATTCTAGGCCTTAAACCTATATTAAAGATAGTTAGTAGCTATTAGACTTAAGAGCCTTTATAATTAGAGGATTATACTTAATCAATCTATAATAATAATTATATTCTTATTATTAGATACTATTATAATATCTTTAGAATATAGATATTATATTTATTATATCTCTTTTAACTATATTATATTAATAGTATAACTTAGCTTATATTTAATAGATATACTAAAAATAAATAAAATAGATAGATAGATAGATTAATATAATATAATTAAAAGAGATATAATAAATATAATATCTATATTCTAGAGATATTATAATAATATCTAATAATAAGAATATAATTATTATTATAAATTAATTAAGTATAGTTCTTTAATTATAAAGGCTCTTAAGCTTAATAACTATCTTTAATATAAATCTAAGGCTTAGAATTAGTCTTAGACTTTTAAACCTCTTAATTATAATTAAGGTCTAGAATTAGTTCTAGACTTTTTAATCTCTTAACTATAGTTTAGCCTATAATTAGCTAATAAGTTAACTTATCTAGATATCTATATATATAAGTTTATAAGTCTAGATATATAAGCTATTTAATAATAATAAATATAACTAAATTATTATAATAAATAGTCTCTTAATAATAAGTAATCTATTCTATAAGCTATAATAATATACTTTAAGATTATTACTAAGAGATTATCTTAAATATATATAAAATAGTCTATTCTTCTACTCTCTTAAATTTATCTCTTATACTTATCTATATTAAGACTCTTAAGTATATTCTCTATTAAATAACCCTATATAATACTAATATATATATCTAAGATTAAAGAGATATTATTCTTTCTTATTTCTATAATATCTAATAAGAAGAATAGATAACTCTTTAATAAAGTTAAGAAGTTTATCTTTTCTAAGCTTAATCTAGATATATTATATAGAGCTACTAAAGAAATTAATAATATTAATAACTATAGTCTTCTAGGCTTTAGATATAGCCTATTAAAGACTATTAATATTATAGAGCTACTTAAGAGTTTAATTATTCTTAAAGAGATATAATCTAATAATCTAAATCTTAATTATCTCTTTAATATTAAGAAATATTAATTATAGCTAGAATATTTAAGAAAGATAGTTAAGTATCTTTAGAGAAGAAAGAAGGAATAGGACTAATAAAAGTTTTATTATATTAATAGTTATTCTAATAGGGTTATAAATTAAATAGAGTTAATAGAAGCTACTTAAATAACTTATATATAAGATTCTAATTAATTAATTAATCTAATATTATAGAATTATATTATAGTTATAAACCCTTTAAGAGAGATATTATATTAATAGTATAACTTAACTTATATCTAATAGATATATTAAGAATTAAAATAAATAGATAGATAGATAGATACTCTATATATAATACTTCTCTTCTTTTCTAAACTACTACTCTATCTTACTATAGATCTAGTAGCCTAAGCTAAGCTCTAAGGCCCAGCTCTTTAAGGCTCTCTTAAGCTAACTCCTCTTACTAAGCTTATTTTAGTAATCACTTTTAGAACTATAAAAGATATATAGTATGTTAATAAGTTGTTACTAACTTATCTTAGTTCACCTTTTAAAAAATATACACTAGCTTTACTAGTATTTATTACTACTCTACTAACTTATAATATATACTTATGATATCACAATCAAGTTGAAGTTAGTTTTCCTCCTCTAGAGATGAAATACATAATAAGGGTCAGTAACATTCTGAATCGTGCATCCAACCTGTACATGCCCTTGTTCCAGGACACCAATGAGCCAGCTACGGGCACGAGGCTGCCCAGAGTTGAACTCATCAAAGTGGTTGTTGACAGTGTCTCTCTGATATAGAATGTTGGCTCCCATCTTACAGTACTTATTGATCAGCGCGTCCGTATCCGCGACAGGGCTCAACTCATCATGAATGGCCTTGTAGCAAAACACCTGCATCTGTGGCACGCCATGGGTGCCCATCTGTCCGTCGCTCTCCCGTACACGCTGCATGATCGGTGCGTCAAGGTCCGCAAAGCCGCCGATGAAGTAGGAGGACATATCCTGAAAGGCAAATGTGATGATGCCAATTTCGGTGCCAGTCTCCACCATTGACATAAACAAGTCCTTGCTCTGGAGGCCATACGGCTTAAGGCGGCTGAGGAGATAGGCACGCGCGTCAGGAAACTGGCTGGTTGAGCCGATAAGGTAACCCGGGATGATGGCAGCATACAGACCCTTATTGACAGTAGCAATAACTGAGGTTGCATTGGGTGTGAGGCCGCCCATAGCTGCTCCAAGAAATTTGAGTTCCGGTGCGTATTTGAGCTGGAGCTCTGTCGCCGCCTCGGTGGCGAGGCCGCCGCCGGAGTATCCCCAGAGGGCATAGCGGACCTTGCCAGGATCGGCCGGCATGCCGAATTCAGCACCGCAGCTCGACGAGAGCACAGCACGAACACCGTCCAACACTGCGCTACCTGACATCCTGCCCGCCCCAAAGGAGGCAAGAGGGCCCTCATAGTCTCCGGTGATGACAACCCACCCACGGCCAAGGGCCCAAGTAATATCAGAGAGCTGGTCCGCGCTATATGAATACATGACATAGGAGGGAGACTGGTTAAGGTCAACTGTATCGTATGCCAATTGGATCGAGAGCAGAGTTGTGTCGGCTAGCGGCTTCTGAGGTAGGAAGACTGTGGCGACAGCATATGTCGCCGTTTGCTGACTGTCAGTCGTACGAAAGAGGATGTTGTACGCCGCTGAGCTGTTGGCAACCCGAGATGCCAAATTACCAGGCGCTGGGCGAGCACGAAAGATTGTGCCGGGCGTTGCAGCATCAAGGTCTGCGGGCGTGGTCAGGTACCACGGGTCGCTCTTGGGCTGAACCGCATTTTCCAGGTGGCTAGTTGCCATCGGACAAGAGGAACGGTTTGTGAGCTCTCGGCGAGCTACATGAGGCGAGGCCACAGTAGGCAACACCTCGAGCAGGAGGCCGAGGCCAAGGGCCAGAGCCAGAGTCTTGAAGCACACCATGCTGGGGTGGATTTGGAAGATGATAGATATATGAGAGGCGAACGAGGGAGGTAAGGAGGAAGGCAAGTAGGAAATGGGGATAATACGTCGTTCAGTTGAGCAGACCGGAACGCTGGGGGTTGAACGCAAACGCCAAGCCCGAGAAGTGGGTGGTAGGGGCTGAATAAATACTTAATATGGTCTTGTCCTGGGGCAGGTGATCACAGACCTCAGCAAGACCCGGCCGAGATCGTCGCCGAAGCATCAGGCGCCTGGTCCCTGTATTCATAAACTTCTATGCTACCACTCCCCAGTTAGCAAAGGTTGTGCTGCTGGGCAGAGTAAGTTATGCAGTCTCAAGGGCGGTTGATACATGGACTAGTATCAAGGCTAATCTGTGCCTAGGCTAGTGAATCCTGACGACTTGAGACCAGTTTCCCTAAAATTCCTTTATTTGGTATTCTCCGGCGCTCGCTTCATTATTCACGCAGTCTCTAGGTTTCCCCGCGGGGTTTAGTTGAGCTGGGCCTCACATAGGTCAGGTAAGCAGTCCCCATTTCCTAGGGTGCATGTCGTCATATGCTAAACCAAATAGGATATACCCGGCATGGCCTAAGAAATTTGAGTCTTGGTTAGCCAAATATAGAAAATCACCGAGAAGAGCCGCCTGTATGTACGGTTTATAACCTTAGGGATTGTGTCCATTCTGGAGACAGGCACCGTGTCCCCGAGTCTCCGCTAGAGCGCATATGATGAGAAACGGGGTGAAGGTGTTGGTTCCAGAAGAATGAGGATAGTGCCTCCATCAATAGAAATCATGGATGGACTCTGCCCAGACTCGTCATTTCCTTAGTGGAGAGAACTTAGTCATCTGCTGCCCAAGCGTTCTCAAGCTCCAGGAGGCAGCCAGAAAAGAGTGCGCTAGAATTGCAGTCTCCCCTCCACCTCAGCCCGCCTCCGCCTCGGACCACTGACCCCAGAATCTGACCGACATCAAGAATCAACCAGCTCGAGCCCTTGCGTGCAGCACGACGTTGTTGAGAAAATATCGCTACTATGATGCTGGGCGACGACACAGAGGCCAAGGAAATCGAGCGTGCCGAGTACCTGCTCGACGCCCAGGAGAAGGCCATCAAGCTCTTTGACGAGATTGAACGAGACCTCATCCGGCCGGGCATCACCGAAAAGGCCCTCAGCGACGCCATCCACGAGCTCGGCAATTGGCGCCACGGCGTGTGCACACACTGGCACAAGCGCGTCGTCCGAAGTGGGCCCAACACCTTGCGGCCTTTTGCCGAGAACCCCCCTGATCGTGTGATCGAGGCCGACGATATCCTCTATGTTGACCTGGTCTTTGAGGCGTGGGAGGCCGACTTTAGTCGCACATTTGTCCTCGGTGACGACCCCCGCAAAAAGAAATTGAGGGACTCGCTCGAACCCGTGTGGGATGCCGTCAAGGCCTGGTTCGACACCAATCCGGGAATGACTGGCCAGGAGCTCTATGGGATTGCCTGTGCAGAGGCGTCCCGCACCGGCTTCGATTTCGGCGCTGATATCGCTGGGCATCTTATTGGATCATTTCCGCATGAGCGCATACCCAAGGACCGAGTCTCGCTCTACATCACCGATGGCAACGCCGAGTCGATGCGTACAGTTGACAAGAATGGGCACCGGCGCCATTGGATCCTTGAAATCCATCTGCACGACAAGGCTAACCAGTTTGGAGGATTCCACGAGAAACTCTTGACTGTTAGGTAGCTCTGCTGCTATGGCCAAGGCCAAGCTCAGATGCACGATACCTCACTGTCCCTTGGGCCCTCCTCGGGCAGACCGATTATTGACGTAATTGACCTATCTAGGTGCCTCGCGGACCAAGTTGCGAACTCCCGGCGCAAGAGCCAGTGCAGGCTTGGATGGAGTTCAATAGAATTTTGTAATAACAATCACTACGTATGCAAAGGCTTCGCCAGGTAGCTACTTTATCGGTGCATTATACTTTGATGCAAATTGCGCGAGCTTGCCTCCGAGCTAATGCCATGTTTGCCTAAATTATGCTGACCTTTGTTGCCAGCAGGCCAACAAGCCAACAAATTGGTAGAGTGAGGTCTAACTTGCTTCCCTGAGGGTTTCATCACCACCAGAGATCAACTATTCGGAAACGGCGTTTCGCTGACCGCGCAGGGCATCTGGTATGCATGGTTGATTTCGATAGACGAGAAGGGAAATGTTTCCAGCCTCTCGCTTACTCTAAATCCATATCTCAATGGAATGTGAAGATCACCATCAGCTTGGAAGAAGGCGACACCGACAAAACTCGAAGGTTTCAAGCTCCAGGCAGGTTGCTTAGATCCTGCTGCATCATCGTAATTTTCGAGTTGTGTTTGTAATATGATATCAGGGATAATGCGACATGGATGTGAGAGGCCCCCCCCCGGCGGTATCCATGCTGCTGAGTAGATGAACAATGAAGGCTCACAAAGTAGCGATACTTAAGAGGAACTTGAGCGAAAGATTAGGCCAAGGCTTCCACCATAGTGCCACACATATGGCCGAAACCGACTCAAGGAGGTCAGTCATTAAGATCTGTATGTAGTAAGGAGAATCTTGAAGGCGAGAAAGAGGACCACAGACAAAAGAAGAGAACCTGTAAGAACGATATGGACGACACAGGAATAAAAATGATTAAAAAGCCAAGGCCTTTAAGGCATGCCCGAACACAGATTTGAACTGTGGACCTCCTCATTACTAGTGAGACGCGCTGCCAATTGCGCCATTCGGGCTTGATTAGTCATCATGTTGGACTGAAAACTGTGGTAACCTGGATCATATCGTCTTAGCCCGAGTCGTCCTGTGGCGTGTGTTTCGATCTTGGCCAAACACTGAGTGACTAGCTACATTATGTGAGGCTACATTATGACAGCTATATCAAGGCCCAACACCCATCACCATAGACTCAAATGTTATGTCTCTTGGCTAACGCGCACCCGAATGGCAACCTTGCCTTGTTGGAAAGTGAGTGATGACTGTTTGGCACGAGGTGCCGGGATAGGACCCAACAAACAACATGAAAAATGTCAAACAAAACCCCCCTATGTCCGTGGCAAGGCTCCGATAGCACTGGCCATGACTACTTCCTCTTCTTCTCGCAAAAGTCTACATGAGCTGAGTTCCCTTTCCAGCATCCCTGGTAGGCGACATTGGGAAGAGACAGTGAAGGTACACGATACCTGATAACGGTTTTCCCAAGGACGAACCCTGCAATCAGGCAGAGGGTGAGAGAGAGACAACCCAGGCCCCTACAATGCCCTACAAGCAAGTACAAGTAGGTAAGTGTCGCGGTTGGGGATGGTGCCAGCCAAACCATGCCATGCCATGCCAAGCCCATCCGCCGGATGCATGATATGAGGGTCCACATCGGCGCCGCGGCGACTTTTTCAAACCAGTAGCTGAATGGTCCGTGGGTGCGCCAGTGCGCGGGGGCTATTATTTACCGTGCCTTGGGGGAGGGAAAAAGTCTCCGCGCTTCTCTTCCGCTCGCGCCTCTTCCGCGCCTCGGACCAACGTGTTGAAACAACCTGGAAACCGTAATTGCATCAATGCGCACGTATTTCGCAGCCTCGAATCCGTCTCGCACAAAGAAGCCCGCCATAGCCTGGATCGTTCGGTCCTTTCCATCGGGCACTCCCCCTCCCCTCCATACCCGGATCGGCCGGCCACAGCCCAGGCCTCTCATCTAGGGATTAGGCCGCTGATTGGCGTGCCCCTGCTATGCTCACATGATGGATCTTGAAGCTCTGGCAGTAGACAAGTCCCGACATCGGGCTTGTGACCCTTGCAGTAAGATAGAGAGGCGTCTCAACTACCACTTCCGCCCCGCCCCTATTTTCGAGCCCTAACCGGCTGACCTCTGCTCCAGGGAGACGAAAGGTGAGGTGCTCGCGGCACAGCCCACGATGCGAGCGATGCTCATACTTTGGCTTGACGTGTGAATACTCCCCCGTCAGACCGATGGGCCGTCCTCGGAAACGCCAAGCAAGCACCATGTCCCCTGAGCAGCAGGGTCAACACCGAACGACTGCGCCCTCTGAACAGGTACCGACGCCAGCGGATCCTATTGTGATGGGTAATGGGCTGTCTGGGCCGATGGATGACATCTTCGGTCCCTTTCCTTCTCCGCTTCCTCAGCTCGACATGGCTTTTCCTCCGGACCAGAACGGCGCCATCGACCATGCCCTGTTCCCTATGCAGCACGCGTCCGTTGCCGGGCATGACGCCGCCGCAGCACCGGCGATGGATCAATGTATCCCGTGCATGCTGCACCACGGCTTCACCATCGGCAACAGTAGGAGCGGCGACAGCGATGCTGCCTCTACTCGGTCTCCTACCAGGTGCATGTGTGTCAAGCTGGTCAACCAACACTTCACGTCCGTCCAGGACTCCCTCGAGGCATTCCATAGCCTGAGCATATTGCAGCAGTCTGTACAGTCGGCGGAATCGATACTCGAGTGCGGCACCTGTTTCGGCCCCATAGACGCGTCCCCTGGCACCTGCAGAAACGTTTACCTCCTCGGCTCACTGTTGTCCAGCATAAGCTCCTCGTATGGCGACTTCTTCCTCTACCAACGGCAGCGCGCAGCACAGAGCCTGGAGAGTGGGGATGCAATCAAGCTCGTCGTCGGCCAGCCGCCAGATGAACGCCAGTCTGTCGAGATCTCGCTCGACGGAAAGAGCTATGGGAGCTTTATACGGGCGAGTCTACGAGCCGAGCTCGCGCGTCTCCTCAAGATCAGCGAGGCCTTCGCCGACCGCCAGGCGCAGATACATAGCCGCGGCCACGAGGGCTGCGAGAAGGAGAAACCCTGCACCAACACGAAGAACCTGCCAGCGGGCAAGCAGCCTGCAGAAGTTTGCCCCAAGGTAGTAGACATCACCAAGGCTTTTGCTTGTTTCCGGACTGTGGACCAAGTGCGAGCTGTTATGGAAGAAACTGAGCAGATCATCTCGTCCTAGCTTTGTCTATTTCTAGGAAGATCCATGATCAGCGCGGTATCGGGCAGACGTCTCCCGGGGCCCGCGCTCAAAGAAGCTGCCCGTGCGACCAATGACAATGTGTAATACCTCAACCCACACGATTGTTACCTCCTTATCACTCGCCCTGGAGCTCACAGTGATAGCAAAAGTACACACTCTAATTTATAGACTTCAACCTGTTTGAGAACATGTACAAAAAGGATATGAAGGGGGGCGCCGGGCCCTTGAAGAGCATATTTTAACCAGCTCTCAGGTCATCGGTTTGAGAGCGGCAACTACACCACGTACAGCAGCCATCTCGGCTAGTTACGACCGGGACAACTCGCCCTTGGTTGACTTTGGGTCCTGTCGGATGCGGGCGAAAAGGAGAGAGGCGGCGGCCAATACGACGGGAATGACGCTGACCATCTCTCCTAGACCAGCGTAGGCTGGTGGGATCCGGAACTTGACCCACGCGCCACTAGCCATCGTCACCGCCAGGACGTTGTAGACGGCAGACCAGAGGAAGTTGAACGCCATACGATGGAATGATGCCCGGCTTATGTCGAGGAGGAACGGAATTCCGCCGAGCCCTTTCAATAGCACCACATCGGCCGCTCCCTGGGTGATGTCACTGCTGCCCAGACCACCACCCATGTGAATGCCAACATGGGCCTGAGCCACAGCGCCGGCGTCATTGGTGCCGTCTCCGCAAAAGACGATTCGCTTGAGCCCGTCCTGCATGAGCCTGGCCACATACTCGCGCTTTTCATTTGGGGTGCACCCACCAACTACATGCTCTGGGGATATGCCGACCGCGGCCGCCACAGCTTTGGCGGCCAGTACCTGGTCGCCAGAGACAAGGTGCACCGTAATATCGCGAGCTCGGAGCATCGAGATGACGCTGACAGCCTCACGGCGGATTTTTGCTGCGAGGCCGAAGACGACAATGGGCACGGAGTCACGAGTGACGATCAATGTGGTGAGGCCCGCTTGCTGGAGGTCCATAACCTCTGCCACTGCTTCGGTGTTGGTCCAGCGGGCATTTCCCGCACGCATGATCGTTCCTTCGTATTCCGCCTGAATCCCCGCGCCGGGTACGGCTCGGATATTGCGCACGTCGGGCAGGGGGCCAGAGACTTGCTGCTCAAGATGTTTGTCGACAGCCGACGAGACGGGGTGCTTGCCTCCCGCAACCAGGGCCTTGACCACGGCAATGAGGTCTTGCTGAGGCTGCGGCAGAAGAACCTTCTGCTCCTCCACGGCAAGTTCGTCCTCTGTGATCGTACCGGTCTTGTCCAACACGACGTCTGTTGTCTTGCGGGCGCGCTCCGTAGTCTCTGCCGACTTGATAATGACGCCGCCTTTGGCTGCGATCCCTCCAGCGACGACAAGCACCATGGGCACCGCAAGCCCAAGGGCACAGGGACAGGCCACTGCAAGGATGGCAACGGTATATGTGATGGCATTGCCGATACTCCTGCCCGCACCATAGTGTTGGCCTCGTATCCCGATCGCGAGCCAGACTAACAGCACAACCACCGCAATGGCTGCCATGGCTGGCACGAACCAACCTGCGACCTTGTTGGCGAGGTCTTGAATCTTCGGGTTCGAGTTGGCCGCTTCCTCTACCAGGCGAGCAATGTCGGTCACCGTATTGTTCCCTGGCAGGCGAGTCAGTTGCGCAACCATCACCCCGTCGCCGTTGATAGTTCCAGCGATGACTTTCGAGCCCTTCCCCTTCGCGACTGGCAGAGACTCTCCAGTCAGCATGGACTCGTCCACCTCGCTCTCTCCAGAGATGACCAGTCCGTCGGTCGGGATGCGATGATGAGGCAGGAGCTTGAACCGGTCGCCATGCTGGAGCAGGCGCGCGTCTATCTGCCTGTCGCCAGTATCTGTGACTAGCAGCGCCGTGTTACCCTGGTTGGAACGCATGGATACGGCTGCAACTGCCTGGACTCTGGCGAAAGCAGCGATCAGTCTCCCGACGAGGATAAGGGTGATCAACATGGTGCTGGTCTCGAAGAAATGGCCCTCGTCGAGCGGCTTCCCGGCCATCTGAAAGCCAAATGCAACCACAGAGTAGATATATGCGGCGGTGATGCTCATAACGACGAGCATATCCATCTCAAAGGTGCGGCTGTGCCACAGTGCAGATGCGGCCGGACGATAGAATTCTGGAACCGCAATTGCTTGGACCAACGTCGCCAGTACGAGAGACATGATTGCGCTTGTTCGGTCGTCGATAGGGAAACTGCCCCAAGATACCGTGGCGACCGGCACTGTCAGTACGGCGGCCAGTGTGGTTTTGACGAGCTGGTCCCAGAGGCGTCGTTGGCTATTCTGCAGTTGAGGGTCGGTACATATCGGCGCCAGCCCTCGACACCTCTGCACGAGTGAATCGAAGAGATCACGAGCACCGACGATGGCAGGATCGTAGGAGAGCCGGAGAGTAAGCTTGTCGAGGGCTTGAATATCTGTCACACCCCGGGGCGGGTTGTTGACCAAAGGTCGTCGCTCTGCAGGGCTCGCCAGGACATCGAGGAAGTAGGTGCCGCCAACCACTTTAGTCAGGGCGAAACCGCTCGCGACGGTGGCGCGGCGGATGGCCTCGTCGGCATTGGTGGCCGATGTGTCGACTTGGAAGCCACCGGTCCCCATTACGAAGTTGACATGCGGCTGCGACACACCCGTGATGGAACCGAAAACCAGCATCAGCTTGTCCGCGCAGCTCGTACAGTCCATTCCACTGACCAAGAAATTGACACTCTCGGTAGTGCCAGGCTTTTCTAGGTCGATAATGTTGCTTGGATGGCCGATCGCCCGTCTATCTAGCTCAATGGTGGACTCAATGCGGTCTTGGGAGCAGTTGGAGTGGATGTGTTTGTTTCCTGGAGGCTTCTTCGGCCTTATGCCTGCGCAGCAGATATTCAGCTGCGTTGTACCACCGCTCTCGATCACGCTGCGGCATATGCATCGGAGTTGTGCTAGATAGTTGCTGTACTTGGCAAAGGCAGTCTGGACATGGGTGTCGCAGGCTGAATCGGTCCTGTGGCCGCCGGGATCGTGCTCGTGAGGGTGGTTCGTCGATACTTGATGTACGGTCAGTCAAGGAGATAGCAGCGGATTGGGATGTTGAGATACATCACGGACTCTCATGGCCAGGGTCTCCATCGCACATGTCCCTGCACTGAGCAGCTGCAATTGCGTATATACACTTTTCTACCAAGGATTAAAACCGATAAACGAAGCCCTACAGACGAGGGATGAGCCACTTACCATCGCAATGTTCCTCAGCACCGCAACACGTCGATGAGGTAGTACTATCGGCGTCGGAATCCTGCCTGTTGTCATGGTCATGGCCATGGTCATGGTCGTGATCGTGATCTTGATCATGCATTTGCGCCTGATCGGGCTGCTTTGGCTTTGAACAACACGATGCACCCATTCTGGCCTCGGGTCATATGCTTGGAAGTACTGGGAGAGAGTTGGCGGAGTTGGTTCTCCAGGGAATTGCAGTTGGAACTCGATACATTGAAGTCGTTTCTTGCTGATTTCGCAAGGGACCGGCGTGCTTTATGTACCTCTTGGTGAGGTGTCAAAGTCTCCGCGCGCCGCCAAGAGGGCGGCCCTCGACACAAACAACTCGCCGCGGCTCTCCCGCACACGCGCGCGGACGGACCCGCAACAATGCAAAGCGCTTGGATAACATTGTCAATGGGCTCAGCTGGAACCACTTGAAATCTCGGGGAAGATGAGGAGCTGGCGCGACTCGGGATGAAGCAGCACAGGAACGTGCTCGCCCAGATGAAGGCTTGCCTGCTCATCCTGCCTAGCTAAAGGCTGCTCACTTGCCACCCAACCAGCGGCATGCGAGACTATTAATCGACAGTATGCATGGCAGACACCAACATCAGAATCTCGAGTGCTTTGTCCTGAGCTGAGATAATTAATAGTATCTTCGAAGAGCCCAGTGCTGCAGTCTTCGCGGGCATTCGACGTCCGAACTACTCGTGCATTTTGAGAATTGTTTTTGATATTGTGGCATTCTATCGTCCCCCGAGCCGAGTCGTGCCCCCCAAGTATTCAAGAAATCGATCAACGTACACGGCTCAAGGATTAGAGCGAGCAACCATCCAGATGCATGATCGTGCACGAACCCACCAGGACCCCGCATGTGCTCAGACCCGCCGAGCCGCCATGTCGCCACGAATAGGTAAAAATGGGGTAGTTATCAGTCCTCGCATGTGTCTCCCCGTTGTCTCTCCTTACCAAGAGGAAGCCATTGCAAGTCTCTCCTCACCAAGAGGAAGCCATTGCAAGGGGCAATCTCACCTGATCGACCATTTGTGAGGCATCCATCATGCACTCAATCGACGTTCTTGTTGTCGGTGCGGGATTGGGAGGCTTGGCGGCCGCACTGGCACTGAAGATGGCCGGACACAGCGTGACGATTGTCGACGCGGCTCCGGAATTCTCCAAGGTGAGGAAGGCCCTCGTTCGTTTCGGCCAACGGCTGCTGAAAGGGCCAGGCTGGAGCCGGTATCCACGTCTCCCCGAATGCCAGTCGTCTGCTCCGTCGATGGGGAGTAGATATAGGTGGGCTGCGAAACACCTGTGATGGGTTTCGCTTTATTCGGTACGCCGACGGCAAACCCATCGCTTGGGTTCCATTCGACAGTACAGCAGATGCGGATGGCGCGCGATATCACATTGTGCACCGCGCCGATCTCCACGGAGCACTCCTCGACGCTGCTAGGAAGGTCGGCTGCACCATCCTGACAGGGAAGCGCGTAGTCGACTACGATTTCAGCGTGCCCGAGGCCAGGACCGTTGATGGTTCAACTTTTGGTGCGGACCTTATTGTGGTTGCAGACGGCATGAGGTCGATTGCTCGTCCGCTGCTCACCAGCGCACCCGACGCACCCCGCGACATAGGTGATGTCGCCTACCGAATCACCATCCCGGCTGATAAGCTCCAGACCGATCCTGAGCTCTCGGCCCTTGTCCGCGACCCCTGCGTCACGTTCTGGTGTGGCCCAGGGGCTCACATGGTCGGGCACCCTGTTCGAGATGGTATCGAGTACAACATCATGATCTGTGCTAGGTCGCGCGACAGCGCCCCCGGTTTGTCCTGGGTGGTCGAGGGCGGGAACGGCGAGCTGCTCGACCGGTTCTCCAGATGGGAGCCGCGCGTGCAGAAACTCTGCGGCATGGCGGACAAATTCCTCAAGTGGCGGCTCTGCGACGTGCCAGATGTCCCCATATGGGTACACGGCTCCCGTAGAGCCTGTCTCCTTGGGGATGCCTGCCACCCAATGCTGCCTTACCTGGCGCAGGGGGCTGCCATGGCGTTTGAGGATGCCGCCGTGCTCAAGCAGTGCCTCGCCAGCGAGAAGGATCTTGCCTCCGCTCTATCGCTGTACGAGCAAACTCGAATGCCTCGTGTGAACTACATGCAGGAAGAGACACGGGAGCATCAATACGTCTGGCATATCGAGGACGGCTGGAGGCAGGCTCTCCGGGATGGGCAGATGGCAAAGAACGCGGCCGAGAACCCGGTCTTCTGGGGGGATGAGCGGCGGCGTCACTGGCTATTTGACCACGATGCCGAGCTGGTGGGCAGGGAAGGCTCCACCTGGAAGGAGGGGGCGTGAACAACTTGAACCTCCGAGCGAACGAAACGGCATAACATGACACGACCGGTGAGCGGTTTAATAGTGCCCGTTTGAACGTCAAGCTTCTATGGGCTGAGTGGGTAGGTATCTTAGTATATTGTAGTAAGAGGCCCGGGTGGTGGACAGCACCTAAGTTCCGAAAAACAGCGATGTGCAGTAACCGTGCCATCAATAAAGCATATCATACAACATGAACTCCCTCCATGTGCAGCTTCAGCTCACACCGAAGCGGCATCTCTCCTGGCTCCCGCGATCACGACACAGAGGCTGCTGTAATTCCAGTCTGTACCTCCTTCTGCCAGATGCACAAACAGCTCAGTAGAGTCATAATGCTCCAGAGCACGCCAAACTCGCCTGATGCCCCGGCATTCCGGAACTCAAACTCGCCAATGTGTGTCAGGCTCAGCCTGCGGATCTTGGCATCTGCAAATACAGCGACAACTTTCTCGCTTTGCACCTCCTCCGGCACTGCGTTCGCGCGGCCCTGCTTCTGTTGCTTCTGCGTCGTGCTTTTTTCATTTGATGAGCCCTGCTCGGCGGCCTCGATTCCTAGGGCCACCAGCTTCCAGCCCCAACTGTGTTCGCCGAGGCTCTTGACTTCTTCTCCGTGGGAGCGGCGCCACTCGAAGCGCTCGTTGCGTTTCTGCAGACCGTGGCCCACCTCCATGGCGAACCAATAGCGTTCCTTCTTGCCAAGACACCCAATGTAGCGCAAGACCTCGGCGTGCGGCTCGCCGCCATCTAGGCCAGGCAGGGTGATGAGGAAGTCTTGGCGCCACCTGCCGTGCGGCTGGACGTTGGCCAGAGTAGCCATGTCTTCGGCGATGGGCCCGTCGTGTAGTACCATGCTCCCATAGTAGCCCTTGGGCAGTCTGACGAAGTAGGTGGGCTTGACGCCCGCTCCGGCTCCGCTAAGCTCGAGCGTCGGACCCTTTAAAGATGTCTTCTTTGACGCGATGGTCAACCCCTGAGGGATGTCTTTCTCGGTGAAGTCTTCGGGCATCACTGGGTTGTCGAGCTTGGAGGGGGAATGACCCATGGTGATGGCTAGAGAAAGTGAAAGTGGTGGTATGGTATATGTATTCCAGACAAATCAATGTTGAGCTACAAGGAGATCTCTTGCAACGAGCTCGTCCAGGAGTGTATAGTGTTTGAGAATGATGATAGTCTGTACAATGAAGGAGAGACTTCAAGCACAGAGCCATGGACACTTATATATAGTCATTAGACATATGGCGTCACTCCGGTGAGGGCCCAAGTTGGCCCTTGCAAGACAGCCCAAAACGAGTGGCGCGGCGTGGGGCACGGACATGCATGCATGGGGAGAGAGAGCCTGCTGACGGCTACTCCGTCCTGGTCCTGCAGAGCTGATTGGATCGCATTTGAATACGAGTGGGACTTCGTCCCTGAGCCATGCGCCTGCACAGCCCTTTAAGCTTTTCTGGCCTATCTTTTATTCGCTCGACGATCCCTGAGTGCCCCATCATCCCGAATCTTGGCAGGGAAGCGATGCATCGAGGTCATCAAGAAGTACGGAGTAGAGTGGGTAGATCGGCTTAGGCTTCGAAATTTGCAAAGGGTCGCGGGCGTCTCTCAGTATGGGTTCTTCTTTGAGAAAAGCCGTCTGTCGGCTGTGCACCAACCCGACCTGGGGTGTTCGGACTTTAGAATTGGTAGGTAGTTCGGTCTTCTAACACAAGCTCTGAGGCACGATGACAGGTGCTAAAACAGTCTCTCTATGGTCTATGCTGCCGCTATATAGTGAAAATCCAAGTCCAAGTTAATGCCAGTCGCCAAGATCTAGATGACCTATGGTAGGCCGAGCTTGATCTTATGGAGGTAACCTACGATCTAGCTACCAGGTACTGAAAGCAACAAAGTTCAAGCGACTGCTCGGGCTGTCGGTATAGATTTTTACGTCCACGACAGCGTGGCAGTAATAGTATTTAGTATGACAAGGCTATTAGGCGAGCAGAACAGCTCCAAAGCCAACGGCTCCAGCTATGAGCATCGCGGCCACTCCGTACGCCGAGTTGCTAGAAGCAGCGGCCGTCACGTATATCGATGTCGATCCGGAACCATTGACGACCGCGGTGGGTTGCGAAGTCGGCACAACTACAGCCGCGCCCGTGTTAGCCGGGACGGCACCAGATCCTGTGCCAGTGGCGCAGAGAGCCGCGGGGATGGTCAATGTCACAGCCGACTCGCCGGCGGCGCCGCAAGCCGAGCAAGCTCTAACAACAGTGGTCATCGGCACCTGCGGGGTGATTGCCTTGAGGCTGCACCCAGGACCGGGAACAGTCATGGTGGTGCAGTATTCCAGGACCTCGAGCACGGCGGGGTTGGTCGCGCAGACGGTCGAGTAAGTCACAGTGGACGTAACAACAACCATGGCACAAGCGCCAGCGCCCGCAGCACCAATCACGCCGGCACCAGCACCACCGATGGCGGGGGGACTAGAGCCACCCGGTCCTCCCTTGGCCGGCGCGGGGCGAGGCGCAGGGATGGAGCCCGTGTTTCCGTAGACGGTCAACAGGACATTGGCCGGGGCAGCACGGGTGCGGAGCAGGCGGCGGCTGTTGCTTCCGCTGTTGGGGCTAGTGCTGACGTTGATAACACCGCCGCAGTACTCGTCTGGGTTGCCGGGGCAGTTCTGGCTGCACTGGCTAATGTCTGGCAAGGCCGAGGTGCCCGCATCCAGGTCGTTGGCGCAATAACAGGTCCTGAGCACGACACTGATTAGAGACCAAGTACCGGGATGTGGAGATAAGAACTGCACAGAGCTAAGAGGAAAATACTTACTTGTCGAACACTCCAGCGTATTTACTCTGCGCACAAAGTCCGACGCAAACCTCGGGAGTCATATCTGATCTTGTGTCGGCGAGGGCGAACGTGACGAAGCGCGAAGATGAGCCGAAGCATCCGAGTAGGACAAAGTCGCCAATATTGGCAGGATCGCGCGTCAAGGACGTCGTTGGGGTCGGGGACGATGTACCAGGCGAGGAGACTGTAGCAGAGGACGCCGCGGAGGAGGCTGCAGAAGTGGTAGCAGTGGTGGAGTAGTTGCCATAGATCCCCGAGGAGATCGGCCGAGAGGAGGTTGGCACTGGTACTGTCGACGACTGGGACGGAGAGCTAGTCTCATCATAGACGTCAATGTAGTTGATCTCCCAGTAACTGGAGAACAGATGCGGGTCAGTATTGTGACTGTATGTTCGGTTGGGGGCTGGGGGAGAGCACCTACGCATTGGTAAACGCCCGGGGGTTGTTGCCAACCCATTCTTGGCAGGTTGCCCCTGTATCTGCATTGCAAGTATCGGCCACACCCCAGAGGTTGCCAGCATAGTCGCCGCAAAAGTCCTATCGAGAGTTAGGTCAAGGGCGGGTGGTAGAAGGCGGAAACTCATCAGGTCTCACTGTGTTGATCACGATGCTCATGTCCTTGAAGTACTTGTCGACGTTGCAAGTTGAGCCGCCGAACAGGGCTTCAGGCAGGCCCCACGAGGACGGATCCGGGGTCTTATTGGTGATATCTTGAGGAATAGAAGAGCGCGCGAAGTGCCAGATCTTGATGGCCTCGTCGGTCCATTGAACGGCGTAAACGCCGCCGCCGACGGAGTTGAAGTCATCGCCGTACGAGTGCGTGTCAGAGGTGGGAGGCACGTAGCCACATCCGAGATTACCATTGTTCTGGGAGCACGCCCCAGGTCAGACCACGCGTCTCTGCTTCGAAGGGAGGATGGGAAGAACAACTTACGCCTGGGCTAGTACAGTCGGTGGCGCCCTGCGAGCCAGTGAAGCCCGATGAGGGTAGGGTGCATCCTTGCCCACTATCGACCTGTTTGTCAGCATGTGGTTCACGAGCAAGCGGACGCTTAAATGGCGTGTCAACTTACGTGTGTGCCGACATAAGGTTCTTGACGGCCGTGCTGGCGCCCTCGATGATGTCGAGCTCGCCCGAGTTTGGCCAGTTCGGGCCATACATCCAAACTACGCCAGAAAACTAATTAGTTTCGCGGCTTGCGTAGTTAAACCTCGATTGAGGGTGGGAGAAAGGGGACTCACATGCAGGCCAAGTGCCGCATATAGAGCCAGGCATGTGGGCAAAATCGCCAATGACAAGACCCTTGTTCACGGCCAACTTGCTCTCCAGACGAATACTGGGGCGCCCGCCGCTGGTCCCGTTGGCGGGATACACATTGGTCGTGTCAACGCGCAGGGTCACTGCCTGCGAGGTAGCATCGATGGAGTAGAGGCCTTTGGCCAGAGCATCTTGCTGGGACTGATACGCCACGAAACCATGGGACAGATCCGCGCCATTAAACCAGTTGAACCCCGAGATCAGGCTGCTGCCGACGTACGAGGTTGCCAAGGAATAGCTCATATTCACCTGCGAAGAAAGGAGCGACAAGGGTTACAAAGAGCGACTGGGCAAAAAGATTTGCTTGGAGAAGGGAAGAAAACAGAAAAGATGCCGGATGATTGCTTTTTGAACCAAGACTGCCTGGTTCCGGCAATTTCTTCGACGCTGTCCACCTTGCGCGGGTTGTGATTGCGCGTCACGTCGGCTTTGGAATGTTGGTTTGCTATCAAGGGCGTTAGCGAGATGGACCAACATTCCAGCCTCGCCCATTTAGCTAGAAAGGCCGCACACAACCCATTCAAACGCTTGGATCTTGCTTCCAGTACTCCATAAAATCTTTCCGAGAAAGGTAACATCTATCTGTCGAACCAAGCGCCATGCCCGGATTGGCCCTGGCTCGCCATGCCATCGAGGCGTGGGCATCCCACAACAATCGTCCGCGCACGTGTGGTGTCACCAAAGGCATGAGACGTGGAGAGCATTATCAGAAGCGGACAGTGAGCTTAATTGTGTTCCTTTCTGCTTCTTGATCAAGGACCAGTTGTTGCATATGAACATCATTTCCTTAAATGATACGGCAATAGGTTAGAAGCCTTGCTAAAGAGTAAGGCTAGTTGATGCATCGATGCCATTGAACACAATTCACCACAAATTGGGCATATCCAAGCGGCTCGAGTTACTAAGAAAACCGCAGACATAAGCAAGTACTCCGTAAAAAATGAGAACAAAACCGCAAGAAGAGAAACAACACCGAACCGGAAACGTCCCCGGTGTCTTATCCAAGGGAGGTCGCAGCGGTAGGCTGGTCCTTTTTTGTCTGCTCAGCTCAAGCAAAGAGAAACACGTTTCTCCACTTGGATCATTCCAACGACAACCACAGCGAGTCGATACGCGTCTTCTTCTGCAAGGGGCTCCGCAAATGATCTGCGTACAAACCAGAATCAAGGATGTCAATATGCTTGCAGGATCTCCTCTTCTTGTGTCCGCTACTCTGCCACTTTCTTAATGTGAGTTCTGTTTGTCGAAATGCAAAGCTCCAGGGAGGTGCGCAGTAGTGAATTTTAATGCTTAATTGGAGTTCATTTTGTAGCCCTACTGAACACCGAAGCCAGATGCGAATCTGACATGCAGGTATTCAATGAGCAGGCTGCCGTGGCATCTTGATATTCTCTGATACTCCTTTTTTGACACTCCTTGTAGGTGAAACTAGGACCCTACTGATAATTCCTGGGCAAAACGAGAGTGGCTGTTGAACAGATTATCCGCCTGGCAGTCTGACCTGTTCAATCACAGTTAACCAGCGAGCTCTAGATCAAGTTAGTGGACTTCTTTGGGCTTTCCTGCAGACCCTCGCGTCACTCGCGTTAACCTCACATTTTGCGCTTTTGAATGAACGCCAATCCCAGATCCGCCAGTCTTGGAACCACAAAGAGCTATGAAATAATGTGGCGAGAGGTCTTTCCACGCTCTATCTTCAACGCCTCTGCCAATTACTTCAAAAGAGAACAAAACCCGCAGCCTGCTGATTATGTATAGGGCGGCATTGGACGGTCTTGCCTAGCGGTGCGACCATGGACATGGAGGGAAATAATTGGTCTCTGCTGCGTGCTGGTAGTCCACCTGCAGTGGAAAGAATTCTTTTGAATGAATGTGGTTATATTTCTAGTCCGATTGCTTGGTCCATTTCAGTTCATATCTTGACCGCCGTCCGTCATGTCAAAGAAAGGAAAGCAAGAATTCACGTCAAGCCCCTCATGATTCGCGACTACGGCTGCATGTGTAGTAGCAGATAGATATCGTATTCTAACAATTGCTCCCGAAGCAATGTGTCGTTTACAAGAAGAACCAACAAGAGGGCAGACAACTGTCTGTTTCACTTAGCTCCGAGCTGTTCCTACAGGGTATTACGGTGATACACGGAGAGGAATTGGTCGAGACTGAGTTCAAACCGGAGTCTAGCTCCTGAGTCTGTGGACTGAGCTACTGAGTAATGTCATCTTCCAAAGATCTCCCCTTGATGACCTTCCAAGTGACCAAAACCTTGATGGGATTAATCAAATCTACTCTCGATATCACAGAGGTATGCCCGGTGTCTTGAACTTATTTTACAAGCTTAAACCTCAGCACTCCAAGTCCGAGCATTCCTGTCTCTCACACTCTGCCAAATGGCACCGGACGCTGACTAGCTCACCCGAGTGAAAGCCCAGCCTCTCCATTTTGAAATTCCAAGTCGGTTTGATAGTTTACCATGTCTCGCGGGATCTCTGAGTCAATCGGCTATATCATTGGCTTGCCGTATATAGCATCTCACTGGACGAAGCATGGGCGAGTTGCTCCTAAGCCTTGAAGAGGAGGAGCAATGGTGATCATCTTGGCAGAGACGCTACGACGTGACTCGAATCCTATCCATGGATGAGGCATGCTTCATGTTGCCACCTCATGCCTTGGAGGTCTGCGCTCCTCGTAAATACTATGCTTGCTTCTCTAGCATATGTTAGGCTGCGACATCCTAAGACCCAGTATTGGTTAATTAAATCTGGGGAAGGGGGGAAAAGCATGAAGGGTGTGCAGATATACCAAGGTACCAGTACTGCATTACGGGACTCAGCGGGCGATTCACCGAAGAACCTGGCACCGAGGCATCGTTGCATCTCATGGTCCCCGGTCTTCAGGAGCATTGCATTAGGGCAGAGCGATACGAATCATGCAAGCCTCTCGATGGTGTCCAGATGGCGGCGGCGACCCTGGTGTTGGTGTCTGTCCATGTTGTGTTTGGCTTGACATTCCAGGGCGAGGCGAGCTTGTGACTCTAGCAGCTGGGGGAATTAAAGACTTGGAGAATGGCTTCGCAAACTCTGACTGATACGAAAAATAGCGACCGTTTGGAATGAGAAGAACCACCTGGGCGTCTGGTCATTCCTGATAGTATGTGCCAGCAATAAGGAACATGAAGTCGATTGTCAGAGTATGTGTCTCGGAGAATTGTACTATATCTTTTGAATCTGCTGTGGAGTTCCGGCCAATGTACCTGGCAGAACCAAGTCGTAAGTCGCCATCGATCTTGATCGCCACAATCTGGAGTTCAAGTGGAAGGGGTGGAATAAGGATTGACTACTCTGCCGTGTCTCACTTGAAGGTCTGCATACCACATGATTGGCAGACACACTGTCTCGGTACAAGCCTCTTAGCATTACCAAGTGTTGAATATGACCCTGAATACCAGACGCCGTCATTCCAGCGCCCATTGTTCGCCATCTCACTAGATTGACGTAAAATGCTATCTAGAAGACAAACACTCGAGAAAGTTATCGGAGAACCCCTTTACAAACAATTACGGCTTCAACACAACACCAGTATTTCAACACCCAAGGAATGATCCTAATTTTCAGTTTCCCGCTCCATGTTTTCTAGCGATCTCATTGAGAACAATTGATTTTCAATTTGACTTGACTAGGAGGTAGAAAGGGGGCGGACAAGGGAAAACACAGCTCGTGCATAGCAGCAGGCACTAATGCCACGGGCCCAAACATGTTGACACACAATGTCGCGCGCCCTGTCCAATGGCTTGACAGAAATGCTTGGCCCTAACACACATAGCCTCTGTCTCACTTCCGTGCGATCCCATATATGCGGCCGCCCCTTACAGTGCCCAGCCAGGTTAAAATAAAGATTAGCTTGGAATGGTGGCGTTTTTGAGTTAACCATTAAGAGTCCATCGGCCCCTGTCGATTGCCTGAAACACTGGGAGGTACTAGCTAGGTACCTAGTCTGAACGGCTCGACGATTGTTTTTAAAGTTTTTTGAGTTGAATGTTGACTCACATTATCGCCCGGCCGGTTAGGAATGTGTGGCGTGTTGCACCCTTCATCCTAGGTATCTCCAGCTCATTAGGTTCTAGTGAGTCCTTTGCAAGAGTCGCGGGCAGCTGCCATTCTTCGACGCCACCTCAGCACCACCTCAGCATAGAGCTAAACAACACTGATGTACATGACTGGATGTGGCATTCCTCAGGGGGCTGGCGATGGACGGGCGCGGATCGACCTCTTGCAGCATGGCGCTTCATCTGGACCGCCGCCTTGTGATCGAACAATGACCTACGAGATATTGGCTGCATCGAGGCATGCCTTCGGGGGGCGCGCGCGCGACTGATTCAGAGCGGCTGATGGCTCGCGAACCGTCGACAGCAAAGCGAGATCACCAACAGAGAGGTCCAGCATTATAAAACCAGCCCTGTCTTCCCCCCTTCCTGCTCGTCTCCTATTCGAGATACAACTCATCAACATACAAGATTTGCTTCTCACTCACTCGTTAACTGCTCTGACTCATTGGCCTCCTGGCCGTTCATTCGTTCAAGAAAGCCTTCAAAATGCGCACTACTTGGCTCGCCGTTCTGGCGCTCACCCTCCGTTGCGTCTCTGCAGTTCCGTGCATACGCACCGGAGGACCGGGTGCTTGTGGCACTTGCGGGACGGCGACTTTGGTATGGAATCCAACATACCAGAACTGCTACTGCCCGGAAGGACAGGGATTCAATGCTGCGGGTGATGGTTGCGTGCCGTGCAATTCGATCGCTGCGGAGTACGACCCAGTCACCGGTAACTGCGTCTGCGCGTCCCCAAAAGCATTCAACTCTCAAACCTCTACCGGCTCGTGCATCTCGGATTGCGGAACGGGCTTCGCACGTGGCCCTGGTGGAGTCTGCGCTGCTTGCGCCGCCCCAGCGAACCAAGTTGTCGATAACATCTGTGTGCCCAACTGCCAACCCGACGAGTCACTGGTCAACAATGTTTGCGAGCCATGCTCCCAGGATCTAACCAAAGACCTCATCAACGGACAGTGTGTCGCCAAATGCCCACAGGATCAAGTCCGGGATGGCATTGAGTGCGCAAACTGCACCACCAACCCTCTCAAGGAGCTTGTCGGTGACAAGTGTCTTGACAGGTGCGGCGACAACCAGGTGCGAGTCGGCGACGAGTGCAAAGACTGCGCCTTCGACTCGACCAAGGAACTGTTTGATGGAAAGTGCGTCCCCAAGTGCACCGGTGGACAGGTTCGCAACAATGCCGGTGACTGTGTCGATCCCAGCTCAAGCTCCAGCACGCCAGTCGTCTCAACCTCGCCCAGCCCAGACACCTCGGCTCCGGTCACCACGGCCCCGGAAACAACTGCCCCAGAACCAACGGCTCCCGAAACGACCACACCTCCGCCCGACACCACGGCCCCGACCGACACCACCACCGGGCCCGCTCCGACGCAGACGAGCGGACGACTGCCCGCTGAGATTGGCGACTTCGACTTGGTGGGCTGCACCGGCTCAACGCGGAACTATCCCTCGTTCTCCCTCATGACCTCTAGCCTTTACATGACGCTTGAGATGTGTACCTTGGCGTGCTCCGACTATCTCTACGCAGGTGTCCACGTCGAGTAAGCCGCCCTGTGACACCCCCTCTCGCGATTCCTGTGGACTAACATGTTGCACGTAGGGACTGCTACTGCGCCAACAGCTTCGACAGCGTCGAGACCGTAGCCAGGGACCAGTGCAGCGTTCCCTGCCCTGGAAATCCTCTGGAAACCTGTGGTGGCTATCGGGCTGTTGTTCGTCGCCAGAGCGTCCCGAGCGACGCACTCCTTGTCGTCTACATCAATGTTGTCCTCGCAGGCACCAGCTCGGTGACGGGGATCAGCACTACGACTACGACCACTAGCACTACCGAGTCGAGCTCCGACATTAGTACCACGACCAACACCGACACCACCACCACCACCACTGTCACGACGGCCACTCCCGTGCCCACAGATTACCCCTGTGTCCATGACTACTGCCATCCGCATGGCTACTGGTTCGAGCTGTGTGATGGCTTCCCCAGGCCTGGCGAGATTGTCTTTGTCCTGCAGCCCTGCGGTTGCTACGGTGGTTGGCAATACGTCCAGGCGAGCTGTGACGGCGCTGGCTGTGGATCCCTGGCCGTGTATCGCCTGGTTCCGTACACCGAGTCCAGCAGCCAAGCCAGCGTCACCATCTACCAGCCCCAGCCCTGCAACGACTGCACTGGTGGCGTCACCTTTGTCCAGCCGCCGCCTGCTTCGTCAGGCGGTTCTGGAAGCTCCAGTGGTAGCACCGGTGGCGGCAGCCCGGTCGTTGTCACGGCTGGCGCTAGCAAGGTCGCTGAGATCATCAGCTCCCTGATGGTGTTCATCGGTGCTTTCGCCCTCCTGATCTAAGGCAGATCTGGTACGAGGTGGAAAGCACGTGGGCGATTCGATCAGTTTCATGGGTCATCACCCGCCGCATCATTATCAGCATCGTCGTCACGTCATCATCATTGAGATCTGTGTTCACTTCTCCCACATAGTTGTGCGGGGCTTTCTGGCATTCATGCGCAACGACGTCAGGCATATCAACTATGTCCTTCAGCAGTCAGACTACGATAGCATCCAACATTGCTGGTCGGAACTTTGAGTTTAGGATTTTTAATATAGGTTGCATACTCATCAGGTTCCTATATATGTGTTTCTTCTCGATGGCATATTAATCTTGATCATCTGAATGTTCCAAGTGATAATAGTTCTGTGGGGGGGGACTGGTGCATATAGGTTTTGCCAAGAGGGTGAAGCTGACAGCCGAACAGCGTGATCGACCGAGCCGTTTCTTTCCATACAAGGCTCGAGATACAATGCCTGTGCACCTCGAAAACGTAAGGATCTCCACCGATGAAGCCTGCACACTAATGCTTCCGTTCTCCACGGTAACAGCTCGTCTTGGATGCGAAGATGAAGCAGATGCTCCCGCTGCATCTCGAAACTAGCGTCTTGCTGGAGGAGTGCAATGGTCTTCTGACGCTTCTGGAGACAGGGCCAGCATGTATGTATGATGTAGGCAACGTCTACTGTTGATCGAGTGCCAAATCGAGCCCACTGCAACAAACCATACCTTGCGGGGGAGGGCAAAGCATCAACAGAAGGCCTGACTAGCGAGCGCATACACGCAGGCCCCGGCTGCCGAGCTGGGTCGCTGACTACCCGGCCGCGTCATGGCAATGCCGCCACCAACCCCAACCAGACCGGCCTCCTTAACCAAGGCGATGCCGGTCGATGCGGCATCGGTGAGATCGACACGTAGGAACCTTCCTTGATGACGCGCAATCGAGGCTTCCAGAAGAGTCCTGAACGACTCGTCGTCACGCGCTACAATAGGCCCGAGGATGACACCCCGGCCAAAGCATCGGCAGGAAGCAAAGCCACGGAGGCCGTGCTCGTCACGCACAAGAACGAATGGTTTCTCCTCGATCAGCTTCGTCATGAGGGCTGTGCGGTCCAGCCCGAGCGCAGCCGTGTCAAGTGCGATCACATCAGCGAGATCCGCTGTCGCCGTTGCGTCGACCACTTTCGCTGTTGTGTGCATGGCCTTGACGACGCCCTGGTGCTGCCAGATCTGGCCAGTTGCGACGAAGCCGAGTTTCTCATACAGCGGCAGGCCGGAAAGTGTGGCGACCAGCCGACATTCGCGACTACCGGCAGTTGTCAGCAGTCGCTCGACCAATCTGCGTCCCAAGCCTAGCCCGCGGAAGGCTTGGTCGACAATGATCATGTTGCAAACCGCGGCGGCATCCCCGTAGGGCGTCAGAACGGCCGTCCCCACCAACTTGCCATCACAGACCGCCCCGATAGCCTGACTGGTCTCGAGAAGGAATTGCCAATCCTCTGGTCGGTGAGGCCAGGCTTGCTGCTCCGACAAGCGATGAGCTTCTCTGATGTCTGTGATGCCAATGTTGACGAGGGGAATGTCAGAAGATTCCGAGGTGGTCATCATGCGCTGTGTCGATTACCTACGATGACAATAGATTGAGAGAGTCTCACGCCAAGCACGAGTGTCAAGATTTGCTTCACCCAGAATCCACCTGGCGTGCGTGGTTTGTAGAGCGACCCACTACATGCAAAATACGCGCTTGGCCACGCGACAAGGGAGGCGAGAGTGAGGACTGTATCTTATAAGACATGACGATATGTCGTTCTACAGCCATGATCAGCTTTGTATGTAAGAATTAGGACTCCGTCAATGTCAGTGTGCCTGTCTTTGTGATGAGAAATTCATCAATTGCCACATCTTTCCCACTCTCCTTGCCACACCCACTTTCCTTGATGCCTCCAAACGGCGCCTCTGCTGCCGAGCTGTTACCGGTGTTCTAGGTACGGTCAGTACAGATCCAACTGTAGTAGCACGGGGAGTGCAGGGGTTTTCGTACCAAGCCTATCATGCCGGCTTCAAGATTTTCAAACATCCTCCACAGCCGATTCACGTCCTTGGTGAATACATAGCTGGCCAAACCCATGCTGGTCTCGTTTGCGCGGGCCGTAACCTCCTCTTCTGTATCAAATACCGAGATGCCGAGGACAGGCGCAAATATCTCTTCTTGGCTCATCCGCATAGTGTCTGTCACGCCTGTCAAGATGGTTGGGGCCATGAAGAAACCTCCAGCCGGCGATTCGAGACTACCTGCAGCGTCTGATGGCCCGGCCAATCTCCGCCCAGTCCCAAGAAGCATCTTCGCACCCTTTCCAACGGCATCCTTGACCAGCTCCTCTGCTTTGTCCAACCCCGCCAAGGTTGTCACTGGTCCGAGGGTTGTCTGATCCTCCATCCCATGCCCAACCCGAAGCAATGAGGTCGTTCTAATCAAGCCCTGCACAAACTCCTCAAGGATACTTCGATGAACGTACACCCGGTTGGCAGACACACAAGCCTGACCGGCGTGCCTCCATTTGAGTGCGGCAAGCTGGTCCAGGGCCATTTCGGTATCCGCGTCCTCAAAAACGATAAACGGACAGTTCCCGCCCAGTTCAAGGGTTGTTTTCTTCAATGATCTTGAACAGAGCGACGCAATTATCTTGCCCACGCGAGTACTCCCCGTGAAGGTAACCTTCTTGACCAGCGGATGAAGGCAGAGGCCCTCTGCTACTGCTGGAGTGTTCTTGAGACTGGTTGTCAGGACATTGAGGGCGCCTGGTGGGAAACCCGCCTGGATAGCTAGCCTGGCTAGTGATATTGTCGAGATCGGCGTCTCCGGCGAGGGCTTCATTACCATTGTGCACCCGGCAGCCATTGCGGCGCTCGCTTTCCTCAGCGCTAGGGCGATCGGGAAGTTCCAAGGAATCAGTGCGGCAACGACTCCAATAGGCTGCTTGACGGTAAGAGATCGTCGGCCCGCGATGGCTGACTGAATCGTTGTGCCGTGCGCTCTCTCCGCCTCACCAACGAACCACCAGGTAAAAGTGGTTGCGTAATCGACCTCCCCCAAGGCTTCCTTCAAGGGCTTTCCTGTTTCGTGAACAAGGATCCTGGCCAAATCCTCGCGAGCATCGACAATAAGCGTGTGCCATCGCAGTAGACACTGTGCCCGCTTTCTCGGTGTCCATTTGGAAAAGTTGAGAAAGGCTCTGTGCGCACTCTCGACAGCTGCATTCACATCAGACTCGTCGCAGTCCGGGTAAGAGGCCCATGTTCTTCCCGAACCGGGATCGACAATGTCGAACGTCTGTCCAGAACGAGCCGACTCCGATTGACCATCGACGAGACAGCCAAGGTGGAGGTGGTCTTTGTTTGACAATTCAAACGGAACGCTGAATTGCTGTTGGGCTGGCATTTTTGTTGGGTTGTAATACCGAGAGGGCTAGATCCGCTTGAAGGAGATCCCCAGGAAGAGTCTCCAAGCTTCGCTCTTGAAGACGGCCCTTTTCACACAACTCGCCCAGACGTGCAAATGCCTCTTACATCGAACTGTACTCATCTCGCTTGTGCCCGCCTGGTATCCCACACCCGAGCTGAGGGTAACATGGTGGCACGCTCCGGATGCGCTCGTGTGATCTTCGTAGACATGTTCTTGGCGTCACCCACTAGTCTGATGCGGTACCACCGAGGCTTAGTTCATTTGTTTGAAGCGGGGATCTCATGCGGGGACCCCACGGGCAGGCTGGATTGACGATGATAATTATGTCTGACTCTGTCCCCTGCTTCTACGGTCCGTTCGTTCCCTCGTAGTTGGTCACACGTTCTCTCCTCATCATCACAGGCAACCTATCAACTGGTAGGCCTAACTCACGTCTGCTCACCATGGTGTCTGCAGCAAGATCCCACGCCAGCCGGTACAATAGGCTTGTGACAGTCGCTGTATCTTTTGGCTCCTTGGTCAGTCCAGTGCTCCTGAATCTTCGAGGGCTGTTGATAAGTGCCAGGCCGCTTACCCGCCTCTACAGACTTATGGATACTGCTCCGCTATCATTGGCAGCACGATCGGCCAGCCAGGATGGTACGAATACTTCGACTTGCCACCCCAGGGCACAGAGGGGTACGGGTCAAAAACAGCACAGGCCATTGCCACTGCGAATGGCTTGTACAGCACCGGAGGAGCTGTGGGTAGCCTCTTCGTTATGTGGGCAGCTTCGGCTCTTGGCCGGAAACTTTCCATTCAGATAGGAGCCGCCTGTGCTGTGCTCGGAGGTGCGCTTCAAGGTGGTGCGGCCAATTTGGCGTAAGTAATTGTCCTCGACTCTTGAGGTGCTCCGCAGCAGAAAGAGACTTACACGGATACTGTATACAGCATGTTCCAGGTGGGCCGAGTCATTTCCGGCCTCGGTATCGGCATACTCGTCACTGCCTGTCCCATGTATCTCTCAGAACTCTCGCCCCCTCATAAACGCGGCTGGCTCGTTGGACACCATGCCATCTTCCTCGTCTTCGGTTACATGCTCTCGGGATGGCTTGGATATGCATGCTACTTCGCGACAGATCGCAACGCGTCGTTCGCGTGGCGTTTTCCTCTATGCATACAGTGCCTGCCTCCACTTGTTCTTCTGATGACCAGTATTTGGATACCTAGATCTCCTCGCTGGCTGTTGCAAAAGGGCCGGGCGGACGAGGCATGGCAGGTACTGAAGAACCTTCGCCGGGATCCGCAAGATCCCGATGACATCTTTGCAAAAGAAGAGCTGTACCAAGTCAAAATGCAGATAGAGCTGGATGCAGCGAAGTTGCGGGCCATCAAGTGCACACCGTGGACGGCCGTCATCAAGAAGAAGAGCTACAGGAAGAGGATGATCATAGGATTTCTCACCCAATGGGGTGCTGAATTTGCAGGGCCGCTGGTTATTGTAAGTCGACCCAGCATCCTCTGGTGGAAAGATCTGTAGCTGACTAACATGGACCCTGCAGAACAACTACTCTGTGATCCTGTACACCAACCTTGGCCAAACGGGCTCCATGCCTCTGCTTCTCTCAGCCCTGTGGCTCACCACTGCTGGGGTGATTTACAACCCTCTGGGAGCCTGGCTGCACGATAAGGTCAACTCCCGACGCTGGATGTTCATGGTGGGGCTCTTTGGGTGCTTGTTCACAACCTCCGGGCTTGTGGGATGCATCGCACAGTATGCAGGCACCGCCAACAAGGCCGGTAACTCTGCTGGAGTGTTCTTTGTGTTTCTCTACCTCGCATTTCAAGGGTTGGTTCCTCCATCCTCCGTCCATGTGTACCTTTGCTGATCCCGCTGATACTCAAAATAGCACATTGTGCGATACTACAATGTACCTTTATATCTCGGAGATCTTCCCGACCGAGATCAGGCCGATCGGGATGGGATTCTCACTCTTTGGCCAGTTCGCTTCCACGATTATCCTTTTGCAGACGGCACCGATCGGTATCGACCAAGTCGGCTGGAAGTACTATTTGGTCATTATTGTATGGTGTATTGTCTTCATACCAATCGTCTATTTCTTCTTTCCCGAGACCGCGCGCTTGTCCCTGGAGGAGATTTCAGCCCGATTTGGCGATGACGTGGCCGTCCATATCAACGACATCCCCGAGGCCCAGCGCAAGGAGTTGGACGACTCCCTTCGAAACAAAGATGTAGTCCATATGAAGGAAACCCAGCCTGCCGCAGAGGCGATCGAGGATGGCGTTATCCCCGCAAAGGTTTGAGTCGCTTTCTTGACGGCCTGCAAATGGTGCAGATGGGACAGTGCGAGACTGTCTGCGAACACTGCGGTGTTTAATTCACGGCACTCAATCTGCGTGATGGCGGTGCCCATATCTCTAGCTAGCTTTTTTTAAATGCTCCTATACACTTCCGTACTCAATAGGAAATCAGATTGGCGATGGGATTGCAATCACGCAGCACGACTGACGGTATCATGCCCACTGAGCAACAAGTTGATGTCTCATCAAGTGCCAAAAACAAGCGAGTTCGTAATATTATCTTCATAAGGCCTTCCAATACTTTCGCAACCGAGAAGATTAACAGCCGTTCGGGGCTTCGCACTGGAAGAGAACCTAATCCAGTTCCAAGAGGCTGACAAGGCTGTATCTCAAGTTACTCTGCATTACTTTCGCCTCTCTTGCTTGGCTGGTCCTGGCACCAAACGAGATGACAATAGGGCAAGGGAGCGAGACGATGATTTTCTTCTCCTGCATCAGCCGGGAAGTTGTGACACCACCGCCAGTGCTCCTGTGACCATCTGTGGAATGAGCACAGCTGATTGGGAGGCTTCGCAGTCTTCGGATGTAGCCACACTAGTGGGTGGCACACTCCGCCAGACACCATCAGGCCCCATCTCGCACTAACTGATTTCCCCAGGTGGCCCCGTCCATAGACTCCATGGCGAGGGGCCCGAGCCTGGAAAGCACGCGTGGGCTTCTCATGGACCTTTCTCTTCTGTGAATCCCCTCGTACCACATCCTCGCATCGTGCTGGTCACAAGGCGCTGGCAGAAGTCACACTCGACGGCGTCAAGATGGGCTCTGCCGAGACGATCCCGACCGTTCCTGAGGCCGAACTCAGCAGCGAGCTGCACTCCACCCCGTATGATTCGCTTCCAGACAAGCGCTGCGTGTGGCCAGGCAAGCCAGGGTCGAGAGAGGAAGGCCTGGGGAGGCTGGCTCTACTTACCCCAGACGTCGTTGCTCATGCAGCAAGGACCTGCATCAGGACTGGTCATCGTGTTTCGTTGAACTGGGACCTCACCAAGCTCGATATTGCCAACTTTAATCGCGCCCCTACCCAACATCATATTGTCCCGCTGCTCGGGGGTACTGCATTTGATGATGTCTACGTATTCAACCCACAGCAATCGTCACAATGGGACGGCCTGCGCCATTTCTCGGCACCCTTCCCGACCGCGGACGACCCTTCCCGGAGGTTGTTCTACGGGGGTACAACGGCGTTAGAGATCACTGATCGTTCCAACACGAGAATTGGACTACAGCATTGGGCCAAGGAGGGAATATGTGGGAGAGGCGTCTTGCTTGACTATGCGGCCTATGCAGAAAGAAATGGCATTGACTACAAGTGCCTGTCCGACCATGCCATTCCGCTACGAATCCTTCGGGAAATTGCCCTAGAGCAGGGCGTCGAGTTCCGGCGGGGAGACATTCTATTCGTCCGCATCGGGATGACTCGAGAGTGGGACAGCCAGATGACGCCGGCCAGCCGCCTGGCCTATGCCCAGAACCCCAAGCCGCAACATGCCGGCGTGGAAGGAACAGAGGAGATGCTGCGCTGGATCTGGGACGAGGGATTTGCTGCGGTCGCCGGCGATGCGATATCATTCGAGGTGTACCCGCCAAAGACGGCGTATCCAGCGGCGGATGGCCAAGCATCGGTACCTGGCCTCTTCATGCATGAGTATCTCCTTGCCGGATGGGGTCTCGCAGTGGGAGAGCTGTTTGACCTGGAAGATCTCAGCCGGGCCTGTCGAGAACTCGGCCGCTGGGAGTTTTTCGTGGCAAGCAGCCCTCTGAACATGCCTGGAGGCGTCAGTAGCCCGCCCAACTGTCTAGCCATCTTTTGAACAATAAGACAAGCTCCATTCAAACGTCGCTGTCTGCGAAGCACTGTAGTATCTTGGCAAACTTCTCTGCGAGTCCCCAGCTGCACAGTCTCTGCATCATACTCTGCGCATCCTGCACAATTGTTTTCGTCGCGCCTGATGTCGAAAGGTCCGCTGTAGAGCCCAGGCGGACTGGCCCGCCCTCTTGTATCCACTTCGAGATATTTCGTTGCTCACTGACGTGGCAGCTAGACATGTCCAACCTGACTTCGGGGGCCGCGTCTCGAGTCTGGCCCCTGGGGTTATACTTGACAAAGGCGATGATAAATACATAGCTCATGAACAGACGCATTATCTCGCAGGGGGCCGATACGAGATACTCGTTGGCTACCGCAATGATCTGGCCAGCATGCCACGCGAGCTCCCTCGCTGTCACTGGGTCCGTCCCGAGGGTGGAAATCAGCCGATGGCGTGCGGTGGTGATTGCGGAGATGTGTGAAGATTCGCGGGACACGACAGCGCGGACGATGTACAGGATCAGGTCCATGATATCGCCTGCCGTATAGAGGTGCGAATAGTGACATAACAAGCTGGAGATGCTATTTGCATATGTTAGCTCTGAACCGCCTTCGACTCCTGGACCTACACGCTTGTCCCTACACTTACTTGTAGCTGACAAGGTCTGATGTTGAAGTGGGATTATTTAGTGTGGTTAAAAGATAATCAAGACCCCTGAGGAGTGATGCCTTGGACTGCTGCTGGCCGCTGGACAAGGACGGGAGGCAGAAAAAGTCGGACTTGGAGAGGATCTCTATTTGTCTGAGATCCCAAAGGAGCCGCCCAAGTACTTGCCCACACAATCTTTTAGACCAGGACGAGATATGCTCCGACATGTGGGTGCCATTGACAAGACCATGCAAGAGGCTGGAGAGCGAAGGCCCGAGAGAAACGGAACCGAGCCGCGTTCTGAGAGCTAGCCACGCATCCGCAGATGGCGCCTCCCAGAGACAGTCGCTCGATGGCAGCTTGGAGGGCAATTCACTCAAGTCCACGACGCCGCGCCGACTTGTGAGTGTGCATAGACTGCAATCATACTCAAAGGATGCCCAAGCCAGCCGAATCTCAGTCTCCCGTGCGATCCAAGCGAGCCAGTCCGCCTTCACATCGAGGACATCGGATAACAAGGAACTGTCAGCAGGATTACCAATTTCGGGTGAGGTAGGCCGACAACTCAGGAGTCCCAGGCCGCGGAGGCTTCCAATTAGCACACCTCGCATCCGGTCTGCAAATTGATAGAGGGCGCGATCTCCCGAACCCAGCGAGTAAATCTGGTGCAGACATAGCGAGGTCAGGTAGGCAACGTTGGAATAATTCGACTGGTCCGTCGTCCCCTGCAAAAAATATTCAGCACTCTGTGTGGTTCTACATGACGTCGCCTATTAAGAAAGAGGGCGTTGGCTGGGCGGAGGACGTACAAACCAAGTGATCATCGGTGTGCAGAAGTCGCTTAGAGTAGCGGCGAGGTCGGCAGAGTCTGGAGACTCGGACAGCACTGCCCCAATACAGGCCATGGATGCAAGAAGTATGGTCCGACAGTCACTGGCGTCAAAAGTCGGCCCATGAATGACGGGCTGAATCATCTGAAATTTGGCAAAGTACGCGTCCAAGAGCCGTTGGAGAAGGACGAACCCCGAAGCCGCCGATGGGCCCCTCACCTGGTCCGGTCTTGGGAGTCTCGGCTCGGAAAGCAGCTGGACTAGGCCTTCGACAGCCGATGCGTCCTCTCCACAGGATGAAAGAGGCGAAGCCTTGAGAATCTCGCGGAGAGGTGGTAGAGGCAGCCTCGTAGGCGCTGGGTTCTCCCGCCCTTGCTCGAAGGGCCATGGCAAGCCGGAATGCCTGTGCACGGATGCAGTCGCCGGCGGCTCGGGCAGGAGACTGGCCGGAGAAGTGGATACATCGGGTTCGGGATGAGGTAGGTCAATATCGGCGCCCACGACAAGACTGAAGTCCATGTCCAGATTCGAGATATCCAGATCTAGCCAGTCGTATCCTCCGTACCTTAGGTCAGGCTGAGTCAAAGCGGCCAGATACGGGTTTCCGAGCAGAGATGGGTCATCCCCCCCGAATAAGCCAGGACCAGGGACTGAAGGGTGGTCAAGACTAGCAAAGGCGCTCCTGGTCGCATGTGGCTCATCTACCCAGTCGTGGCACCCTTCGCTAGGCTGCTCCGGAGTCATTGACTGGTGATCCCTAAGAGGCCCGGATGCTTCCTGTTGGGGCAAGACACTCAAGGGATTCACGGCAGCACGCGATACTCCCACAGCCTGCCGTTCGACCGGCGAGGCTTGTTCTGTGCACGGGAAGGAGCAAGACTCGGCATTCGCAGAAGCCACGCATGAGCGGCACGGCAGCTGGCGATCGCATTTCAGTTTCCTCCGCACACAAGGGAAGCACGATTTCTGGTACGAGTTGCTGGTCTGAATGTCGATGTCGTGTGTGGAGCGCATATGCCGAAGCAACACGTCCTTTCTCGAGAACGTCTGGCTGCAGTGATGGCAAGGAATCGTATTGCGGCGGGACAACGGCAGATGGGTCAGTCGATGGCGCTCAAGATGACTGGGCCGCGAGAATCTTCGCGTGCATCGGTCGCAGCACAACATGGTCCGACAGTGCTCACCCGTACGCAGCCTTGGAGACAGGCCGCCGGAGTCCGACTCAGTGTGATACTCTGACTGGAGGGCAATGATGCATGCCTTGGTGTGATGCGTGGAGGAAAGTGGAGCAGAAGGGCAGAGAGAGGGGGGAGGTTTGCCTTGAGGCTAAGTACTGGGGACGTAAAGTACGGAGTCGTGCGAAGGAGTTACTAGGTAGACAGCCAGGCCCACACCACCCAGACTAACACAAGTACTATGCTTCAAAAGGATAGCTCGGATATAGTAATAGAGCTTCATTACGCACAATAGAAAGACGGGGCTCTCTGAAGCTAACCTCCGGCACATCAATACGCATGACTTCCAACAAGACTAGATCATGTCGCCCCAAGTATGTGTGCGCAACGGCTGCTATAGACAGTTTGCGGGCATCTAGCCCCCAATCAAACACATCGCCCGCCGTCCACTTCCATGTTGATCCCGGTGATAAAAGCCGCCTCGTCACTAGCAAGGTAACAGCAGGCGTTTGCAACGTCGGCAGGCGTGGACGGCCGGCCAAGCGGGACTGTTGCGACGAATCCTTCACGGTTCTCGGGCGTGTCGGCCTTGCCGAGAAAGAGATGCGTCCTGTGTCATGTGGGGTCAGCTTTCATCTGGCCTGGTAACCGACCAGGTCGGTCTGGCCGGAAGGAAAGGATAAGAAGCAGAAGGAGAGCACTAACATTCCTGTACTGCCAACCACTGGCGAGACGGCATTGAAGCGGACCTGTTTGGGCCCGTACTCAACCGCCAAAGTCTTTGTGGCATTTACTACGGCGGCTTTGGACGCGTTGTACCAAGTCAAGCGCGGTCGTGGCCGCGTTGCCGCTGTCGAAGCCACTTGGATGAAACATCCAGGCCGGTGCTGGCTGAGAAAGTATTGCATGAGTATCGTCGTGCTCAGGTAGATTGACTTGACATTGACATTCATGACCAGGTCAAACTCGCGCTCAGTGACTTCTTCTGTCGGCTTGTTGGCATAGGTCGCGCCGGCATTGTTGACCACGATGTCGAGGTGTCCATAAGACGCCAGTATCTCGTCGAGTAGAGCCTGCCAGTCTTCTGGCTTGGTGACGTCGGCTCGCTTGAAGGCACAGCCGAGGTCCGCTGCAACGGTCTGTCCCGCGGCTTCGGACAAGTCTGCGATGAGGACCTTGCACCCTTCCTGAACGAACTTGAGTGCGATGCCCTTGCCAAAGCCTGAAGCCGCGCCTGTGATAATGGCGACTTTTCCATCTAGCCGTTTAGAAGCCATGTTGGAGAAGGTCTCGTTTTCCGATGTTGTGTGGTTGCAGTCGTATCTATTGTTGTACGTAGAGACCTGCACTGATTTCCATCGATTGGGTGGTTTAGGGAGAGCGTTCATATCACTTTACGTGGATAACAATGCATTTTCTCGTTTCTTGACTTCAATGCCCGAACAGACCCCGGGGATCCAAGAAACAGTACTAATCCTTCGCGGTCTTGTCTTCCAGGGCTAGCTAGTGTGGGACGCTCCGACGGTGGGGATTTGCAACTTCGCTGCTGAGGGAGACGGGCGGGGAAGCAGGAGTTTGATCAAACTAGTGCACGCGCCTGGTTCGGCGTGGACATCACCCGAGCCGACTCAACTGTTGTATTGTTCGTGACAGTCACAGTCCATCCACACCCACAACCTTGATTGCGCAACTGAGGCGGCAAGATAAGGCATTCCCCGAGCGAATTTGGTGTCTCACGCAACAAAATGACTGCCACAGTCTTCAAAATCCTAGTTCTCCCTGGAGATCATGTCGGGCCAGAGATCATGGCTGAGGCCCTGAAGGTTCTGGATGTGGTCGAGGAATGCCGTCCGGCTGTCAAATTCGAACGGACTACCGACCTCGCCGGGGGCTGCAGCATCGACCAGCACGGTGTCCCTATCACAGACGCAGTCCTGGAGAAGGCTTCCCAGAGCGATGCAGTGCTGTTTGGTAGCGTGGGAGGTCCAGAATGGGCACAATCCACACCAGGCCCGGAACACGGGCTCTTGCAGCTTCGTAAAAAGCTTGATGCCTTTGCCAACATCCGTCCCTGCGAGTTCCTGGCGCCCTCTCTCATCGAAGCTTCCCCACTGAAGCCAGAAGTTGCACGAGGCACGAAATTCATCGTGGTTCGGGAGAACTGCGGTGGAGCCTACTTTGGAGACAAGAGAGAAGAGGCCGATGTCGGCTCGGACCTGTGGCAATATAGCAGGCCCGAGGTCGAGAGATGTGCTCGTGTCAGCGCGAGCATTGCGCGAATCCTCGGACGGGACGGCGACGGCAAGGGCGGCGGTGGGCCGGCAGTTGTGTGGAGCGCCGACAAGGCCAATGTTCTTGCCAGCGGAAGACTGTGGCGGCGGGCTACCGAGGAGCTCTTTCGAGCCGAGTTCCCTGACGTCGAGCTTCGCCACCAGCTGGCAGACAGTCTCGCTATGTTCCTTGTGCGAAATCCTCGCGCTTTCAATGGTGTCATCCACACGGACAACACTTTTGGCGACATCCTCTCAGACATATCGGGCGGCATCGTTGGCAGTCTTGGGACTTTGCCCAGCGCCAGCCTCTCGGGTGTCCCGGGAAAAGGTCGCTGCAATGGTATATACGAACCTGTTCATGGGGCAGCACCCGACATCAGCGGCAAAGGAGTCGTCAACCCAGTGGCACAGATCCTCAGCCTAGCGATGCTGCTCAGATACTCTTGCCTGCTATCTGAGGAAGCTGCGGCTATTGAGGGGGCTGTTGCTCATGTTTTCAAGTCCACTGACGCTGGTGGCCTGGGAATTCGGACAAGAGATATGGGAGGGCAGGCCGGAACACGAGAGGTCGGGGATGCAATATGCAGAGTACTCAGGGAGGCATTAAGGTCTGCTTAAGAACCTGGACCCATCTCAACAAGTATCTCGATATAAATTTCACGTCCGTATTCTATTGTTAAGAAAGGATATCTGAGGCAAAGGTTGTGCCATCCTAGTGAGGGTGTGAAAAACTCCGATGAAAGATAGATTCGCGAGGACATGATCGATAACGCAATCGTGACCTTTTGTTGTGCAGTGTACGTGAGTATCGAATCAAGCACCGATCTGCCACATACTGTATCGTTTGAATCTCGTCGGGTACTGGGAAGATCGTGTATAGCGGTACCGGAATCCTTCCACCCCCCCCCCCCCCCC